ACCCTTGGTCCAATTTTCTAACCTGCTTATGTTTTATTCTCCAACTGTGTGAGCTCCCTCAAATGCCTTTTGGAATAAGACAGAAGAAGAAGAAATAGATAACTGGATAGATCAATGGAAAAACAGGCAGAGAATCTCTAAGAAAAGAGGAACAAAGAATTTCATATGCAAAATCCTCTCCTAGTAATGGAAGAAATAACTATAATAGAGAACTGTGAAGAGGCAGGTGGTTTAGGATTTTGTTTCCTGCAGACTTTGTGAAGATCACAGCAAGAGATGAGAGAGAAGAACTATAAATAATAATAGAAAAGGGCATGCTTGGAAAAAATATCTAAAATATGTACTTTTTAAAGAACAGATTCAAATCCACAAGACCCAAGGACAGAACCCTTGCGTACTTACAAAATTGAGAATTCCATCTCCAAGCCACAAGACATCCCTTCGGAGGAGAGCTTACACGGGGTTTTTATAATGTCATCACACCAAAAGCAGCATTTTTTCCCACTTAGGGGAAATTGGGCCCTATGCCAAGAACTTCCTTGCGTGTCCTCATCTACAACCCACAGCAACTCTATGAGAGAAGTACTCTTAGTGTACTCCATTTCTGCAAGTGAGGTGGCAAGACCCTAAAGAGGAAGTATTCTTATTAGTTCTCGAGATTACCTAGCTGGTGACTCCAGAGCAGGAGTCGATCTTGGGCCTATGTTCTTAACGACAGCACTGTTGTGCTTTGTGTGTTTGTGCTTCTCACGCTTACAATACATTGTTTGGGGCATAGATTAATATTTAATAAATAACATAGGGTCTTGATTTATTTCATTAGATCTAACAAATTATCTTCACATTGTTGAGTTTTTACCCTTTTTTTCCGTTGGACAAAGGAAAGAAACGATAACAGGGGGTAAGAACGAGGTGGGCTTTTCACCCTTTCTATGGTACCTCATCCCTTCCAAGAAGTACACGATCAAAGCACTAGGGCGGAAGTCCCCAACCATGGAGAAGGAGCAAATGTTCCCTCCACCTTTTAAAGAGCACCCCTCTAGTCCTGAGGGCTCATCTCCTGATCAATTTAACTCCAATACCAAGGCTAGAGAAGAAAATTCTACATGTTGTAACAAAGAACAACATGATCTGTGGGAAGGTAAAAAGAGCATAGCTCATGAGAGAGATCAGTGGGTCAGACTGATTTAATATCTCTCAAGAAAAGAATAGCAAGCTCTAAAAATCCTAGTGCACAGTAGATCTGACCTTTCTTGACATCGATAAAGTTTTGACCTCCACACGTAACATTACTGTGAACTAGCGAAACAAAGAGTCATCAAGACCCACAGCCTTTAGATGACAGGCAGGAAAAGCAATGTCACAGGCAGATTAAAACCCAGACTAGAGGAAAGAAAAAGAAAAGGGCATAGTTAAGAAGATGTAGGGGAGAAAAGATTGAAAAAGACACCATCACAAAGGTTCTCAAGTATCAATCCAACAATAGTTTTATCGTTCATTGGAGAAACAGTTACTGAGTTCGTATTATTTGCAAGATTTTATACAAGGCAAAAACTGGAAACTCGGGCAAAACAGAGCAGAAAAAAAGAGGGAATAAAGCAGAGATGCACGAGGCTGGAGAAAGAAAAGGAAACCATAAAAGGAAGAATAAAAAGGGCTTAGATAAGGCAAGTACCAGTGTGGCAATAATGACTAACAGGCTAGCACCAGCCTGGCTCACTTGTCTGCTATCCAATTAAAAAACAAAACCAAAACCCTGACACATGTATACTACTGGCCCTATTTTGCAGAGGAATAGCAGGAAAACAGTGTATACGTAATCTAGATGTTAAATTGGCCAGTGTATGACAAAGTCCTCCAGCAGTAGGACACTGCACCTGAAATGACTGAGGCTAAGATGGACTTTTTTTTTTTTTTTGAGACAGAGTCGCACTCTGTTGCCCAGGCTAGAGTGCCATGGAGTCAGGCTAGCTCACAGCAACCTCAAACTCCTGAGCTCAAGCAATTCTTCTGCCTCAGCCTCCTGAGTACCTGGGACTACAGGCATGTGCCACCATGCCCAGCTAATTTTTTCTATATATTTTTAGTTGGCCAATTAATTTCTTTCTATTTTTCAGTAGTGACGGGGTCTCACTCTTGCTCAGGCTGGTTTCGAACTCCTAACCTTGAGCAATCCACCCACCTCGGCCTCCCAGAGTGCTAGGATTACAGGTGTGAGCTACCGCACCCAGCCAAGATAGACTTTTTAATAATGATCCTGGGACACTCAGATGGCCATTTGGAAAAAGATAAAATCAGTCCCATACCTCACACCAAAAACAAGAATAAACTCTAAATGGATCTGGGATTAAATGTAAAACAGAAAACCATAAAAGAAGTTCAAAAAACATGGGTAAATTCCTCTAAAACCTGGATAAAAGGCTCTCTATCACTCAAATCCAAATTGAATTTTAAAAATATGGATATATTCAATTATATAAATAAAGTGAAAACATATATGACAATCTAAGAGAAAATTTTTACAACACATTTCAAAAGGCTAACATTCCTTATATATAAAGAGATCATAAAAATTGAAAGAAAAAAACTAAAAATCCAATGGGGGGAAAAAAAGCAAAAGATGTGAGAAGACAATTCATAAAGTAAAAATATAAAAATGGCCCTTAAACATTTAAATAGATGTTCAACTTCACTAATAGGAAGATATACTATTTCTCACATATCTAGTTGGCAAAATTTTAAAAGGTTGACAACACACCATGTTGGTGAACCTACGGATAAAAGCACTCTCATGCACTACTACTGTGAATGCAAAATGGTACAACCTTTAAGAAGAATTTTGCAAAATATTTCTACCTTTTGGGGGCACAAGAAAAAATAATTCAGTAAAATCTAATAAAACTATGTTGTATGTTTACCTTGACTTCTAGGAATTTATGCTGAAGATATACCTTCAACAATACAAAAATACATATCTACAAGATCATTTACTGCTGCATTAGTTATAATTGCCGAATATTGGAAACAACCAAAATGTGCATACGTAGAATACAGGTAAAATAAAATATGGTATGTGTACACAGTGTGCTATGCAGCCATGAAAATAAACGATAAAGATCTCCATAAGCTGATGTTAGCAACCAAAACAAAACAACAAGCCAAGTACAAAAGAATATACATAATATAGTACATGTTTCACAAGAAAGAGAAATAAGAACAACTGAGAACATCAGTCTGGTTTAAGGATAAACTAGAACAAATGAACTTGGTTACCTATGAGGGCAGATGGAAATGAGGTGGGAAAAACAAAAGAGGAAGTGGCACTTCTCTGGTTGTACCTTTTATGTAGTTCTGACTTCTGGAACCACGTTGACACCTTACATAGTTTTAAAAAAAATCAATAAGGATGGGGGAACTCATTAATGGAAACAAACAGAAACCAATAACTACATTTCAAACAAGGAACATAGTCACATTGTCAGGAAGCATTAAAGAACAAATCCAAGTAACTTCTAATCACAGCATCTGTGTATTTATCCTCAAGACAAAAGAACCACAACAATTCTTGAATTCTCTTTGTAGAGGTTTGTTTTTACAGTAATATTATTTAGCAATTCCAAAACCGCTTTCCACATATTGTAGGCCTGAGAAAATGAATAAACATATTGATGACATTGGGAGTCAGCTTTCTCACTGTTGGAGAAGGAAAACGTAAACATGAAACAGGGTAAGACTAAAAACAACCCTGGAATTTGGGTTGGAATTGGAGAAATCCATATGAAGTTTAGATAACAGTAGAACTTCTCAAAGGGCCTAAAATCAATGAATCTCAGTAGCAATGAACATGTTTACTGCCCAGATCTTGAATTCTAAATAGCATTCTCCAACAAAATAAATTAAAACTCCTTGGAGAAATGTCTGATTCCACAGCCAAGACAGAGAAAGTACAAAATGAACCTAAAATATCTTAAGCCAGAAAGTAGTGTTCAAAAAAATTATTGGGGAACATGTCAAAAGGATACAGGAGCCAGCTTGAAGGGCTTCCATTGGCCAAATCTTGCAAATGAGCTAAAAAATAAAGAATGATAGCAGTGCATTAGAACCCACTGGAAAAAATAATGATCCATAAGTCCACAATAATAATAGATGGATGGATGGATAGAAAGAAGGACAGAGGGAAAAAAAAAAAGAAAAGAAAGCTCCTCCTTATATTAGAAAGCTAACTAATAAATGTATAAGAAATGATGAAATTTGAAAATCACCATTTGGCAGCCATCAAAGTAATAACAACTGACTCAGGTAAAATTCTTCACTAAATGCCAGAACTAGTGGGTGAAAGTTTGTGAGGAACAAGATATTTACATAGTGTCAAAGTATTTTCCCACAAATTACTTATTCATTACATAGAGAAAAATAGTAACTTTACGGTGGAAACCCCTATTGGACTATATTTTAACCAATGATCCAAGTTAACATCACCAATAATGAGAAAAGTCAACATGATATGCCTCCTGATTTAATGCACAATAAATCACTTATTTCACCTCTCTCCTCACCTTGCCAAAAGGTATAACCTCATAATCACAAAGCAACTTCAGGAAAACTTAAATTGAGAATGTTCTATGGAATAAATGGCCTGTATTCTCCAGAAATATCAATTACCATGAAAAAGAAAGGCTGAGAAACTATTCCAGATTAAATGATACTAAGTGACATGGAAACTAAATGCAATGCACGGTCCTGGACTGGATCCTGGCTCAGGAAATATAACTGCTGTATCGAGACAGCTGGTGGAAGGTAAATAAGGTCTGTAGAGTAGATAAAGGTATTGCATCAGTGTTAAATTTCCTGATTTTAATCACTGCCCTGTTTATATGAATGACCTTGTCCTTAGGAAATGCACACTGAGGTATTCAGGGCAGGGCATCAGGGCTGCAACTCACTCTCAAATGGCTCAAAAAATATATGTATATACATAGAGATCAAATAATAAAGAAGATGATAACAACTGGTGAATCTGGATGAACAGCATATTAGAGTTTTTGTACCACTCTGGAAATTTGAACTTTTTAAAAAATTTGTAAGTTTTAAATTACTTCAAAATCAATAATTTAAAAAATTAGCTCTTTCTGCCATCTTTCCATGCCGCCATAATGGTGCGCATGAATGTCCTGGCTAATGCTCTCAAGAGCATCAACAATGCCGAAAAGAGAGGCAAACGCCAGGTTCTTATACAGCCGTGCTCCAAAGTCATTGTCCGGTTTCTAACGGTGATGATGAAGCATGGTTACATTGGCAAATTTGAAATCATCGATGATCACAGAGCTGGGGAAATTGTTGTGAACCTCACAGGCAGGTTAAACAAGTGTGGAGTGATCAGCCCCAGATTTGATGTGCAACTCAAAGATCTAGAAAAATGGCAGAATAATCTGTTCCCATCCCGCCAGTTTGGTTTCATTGTATTGACAACTTCGGCTGGCATCATGGACCATGAAGAAGCAAGAAGAAAACACACAGGAGGGAAAATTCTGGGATTCTTTTTCTAGGGATGTAATACATACTTACAAATAAAATGCCTCAGTGGGAAAAAAAATAAAAATAAAAAAATTAGAATTCTGGTAAACTCACTAAATTACAAAACAAGTCTATTGAAAACAGGATGTATTTCAGAAAAGACAACTGTACTAAAACAAATGCAATTAGGAATATAAATGGAAATGAAAATGAAAATGGAGAAGACAAATTATAAACTAAAATCATAGGCTATGAGCGGCATGATTCATTCATCCACTCATAACGCGCACTGCAGCTCTTCTGTGCCAGGTTACTAAGCTGGACAGTGGAAATGTACTACCACAGCAGTCTGTGCAGTAATTAAAAGGTCACCATGAGGGAACCATGGTAAAAGGAACACAAGAGTCAAGCCATCCTTTTGCTTTACTGACAGCTGCCAGACCCTTAACTAAAGAACCAAATCTAGTATAAGGGTCTGATTTTTTTCCCCCAAGGAAATAAAAACCCTGAAATGAGACTAGGGATATATTATCAAAAGAATTAAAGAGAAATTCACCGAGGCAGAAATACTGAAGGAGTTGTGGTTTTTAAGCAAGCTGAAAGAAGACAAAGGAAACACAACAAAAAAAACCCACAACAAAAATAAAATAAGAAGATTTAAACAGCAAGTAAACCTAATAGACATCTACAGTGCACTCCACCAAACAACAGAATATGCGTGTGCATGTGGAATATTCTCCAGGACAGACCATATGCTGAGCCATAAAACAAGTCTCAATAAATTTAAATGAACCGAAATCATAGAAATATGTTCTCTGTCCATAAATGAATTATATTAGAAGTCAACAACCAAAGGAAATTTGGGAAATTCATAAATATTTGGAAATTAAACAGCACACACCTAAATAACCAGTGAGTCAAAGAAGAAAACACAAGGGAAATTAGAAAATACATTGAGTTGAATGAAAAATACAAAATGCCAAAAATAAGATGCTTCTGCAAAAGCAGTGCTTAGAGGGAAATTTATAACTATAAATACCCATTTTTAAAAAACAGAAAGAAAAAAGATCTCAAGTCAACAACCTAAGAAACTAGAAAAAGAGCAAACTTAATTCAAAGCAAGAAATAATAAAGATTAGAGTGGAAATAAATAGGTAATTGAAAAACAATAGAGAAAAATCAACAAAATGAAAAAAGTTGGTTCCTTAAAACAATAAAAAAACTTGACAAACTGGCCAAGAAAAAAAAGAGAGAAGACTCAAATTATTAATACTAAAATAAGAGCCGGATGAGCAGAGATTTATTCACCTTTCAGGAAAAAAAGGATTATGAGGGGATATAATGAATACATAATGTAGATGAGATGGGCAACTTCCTAGAAAGACACAAACTACCAAACTCAACTCAAGAAGAGATAGAAAATCTGAATAGACCCATAATGAGTAAAGAGATTGAATCAAAAATCAAAAACTTTCCCAGAAAGAAAAGCCCAGGTACAAATGGCTTTAGTGGTAAATTCCACCAAACATTTAAAGACAAATCAATACCAATTCTTCACAAATTCTTCCAAAAAACATAAAAGGAAGGAACACTAACCAACTCATTTTATGAAGCCAATGTTGTCCTTATATCAAAACCAGGAAAAGGCATCCAAGCAAAAAAATCTACAGACCAACATCTCTCATGAATATAGATGCAAACATCCTCAACAAAATACTAGCAAACTAAATCCAGCAAGATATAAAAGAATTATACAACATGATCATGTGAGATTTATCTCAGAAATGTAAAGTTGGTTTAATATCTGAAAATTAATTAGTGTAATACACATATGAGTAATATAAAGGACAAAAACTACATGCTCATCTCAAAAGATACAGAAAAAGCATTTGACAAATTCAACACCTTCATGATACAAACACTCAACAAACTAGGAATAGAAAGGAATGCTCTCAAAGGACATCTACCAAAAACCCACAGCTAACATCATACTTAATGGTAAAAGACTAAATACTTCCCCTCTAAAATCAAGAATTAGACAAAACGTCCAAATTAGAAAGGAAAAAGTAAAGCTACCTCTATATTCAGATGATATGATCTTGCATATAGAAAATCCTTAAAAGTCCACCGAAAAACTGTTAAAGCTAATAAATAAGTTTAGCAAAGTTAAAGGCAAAAGATCAATATATAAAAAAATCAATTATATTTCTATACACTTGTAATGAATCATCTGAAAATAAAATTAAGAAAATAATTCCATTCACAATAGCATCAAAAAGAATAAAATATTTAAGAATAAATTTAAACCCCCCCAAAATATAAAATGATACTCTGAAAACTCCAAACATTGGCTGAAAAAATTAAAGAAGATAAATAAATGGAAAAAGATTATCCATAGATCGCAAATCATAATATTGTTAAAATAGCAACACTCCCCAAATTGATCCACGGTTCAACATTGTCTATCAAAATCCCAGTTGGATTCTTTGCAGAAATTGACTATCTGATCCTAAAATTATACTTATACTTCCTGATTTCCAATTTTACTATAATTTATGGGGGTGGAAGAGCATAGGTAATTTTAAAATATATTTATTTTGTTTATCTTTATTTTCTAAATTCTCTACAATGAATATGGCTTCTACAATAAGGAAAATGTAAGAGTTTTTTTAAGCATGCAGACCTACTCCTTTAAAAATTTTTTTAATTAAAAAGAGGTAAACAAACACCTGGTGAATAATAACTTATAAGTAAGAGTGGATTTAAGCTTTTCATAAATTTTGGCAACAGTATCTGTTATTTCAAAACAGCAATGATTCTAGTTCCTAGGGAAATTTATATAACATATTAAATTCAACTTTTAAAATTCTAGCTAAATAATGAAAATTCAAGAAACAAAGAGAATTGCATTTGACAGCCAACTTTAAATACATGGAGAGCAAAGGCCTAGAAATCACAGTTCCTATTAACTCTAATAATCAACATAATAAAAGGAAAATCTTTACCTAGGAGACAGTGGAATTCTGTGCATAAGGCAGGATAAACTCAGTCCAAACTGCATTAGATACAGTGATAATTTTTTAAAAATATAATTCTAAAGTTAGAACATTATTGAAAAGCTACAAAATGCTCCAAAAGATAGAAATACATATATATATATACACACACACACATAAATATAGAAGATTGATTGTTCCCATGTCACATGCTAACTTATTTTTCTTTACTCAGGGGCACTAATTACTTTAAAAGAGACAAAATATTTGAATTATAACAAATAATCATTATTATATTTTGCTTGTCAAATCTAGTTAATAAATTTACTCTGCTGTGTAAGTATAACATATCTATAAACTTAATGAAAACATTAAGTTTGTGGAACAAAATATTGGTTTGTGGAACTGTTGTCAAAACTCCAGGATTTTTTAATAGATCTGAGAGGTATTTCTATATTATCTTTTCCTGCTAGTTTTCTTTTTTTTTCTCGTTAGGGACCTCATCTCTTCATTCACCTTGCAGACAGAGTTCAGTGTAGGTTTGTTTTAGGTTTAATGTAGGCAGAATCATTGCTACTGTGAAACAAACAATAGATACTGTTGTCAAAATTCTGTCATTACAGACAATGATTCAAGAGCATCATGTTCTAACTAATCTGGACAATAAGGAACTATGCTAGACAGTATGAGGAAACAAAATGAAATAAAAGGAAGACAATGACCCTATACCGGAAGGGCTTACAATCTATGTCAACACTGCCCACTCCCTACTGGTTAACAAAATGGAATTAATCAAATACTTTCTTTGAACTTTCTGTAGTCATGACTCTATTTTAGTATGATGACCAAAAAAGGCTTAATTATGGCTTTGTTAGATCAAATAGCAATAATCATTAGTGGAGAATAAGTGATACAGAAATGAACTCATTGTAGTTTCCTCATCTATAGATTAGGGATAACAATAGTATATATCATTTGAATTGTGAAGATTAAATTGCTCTAGATGTAAAGTATATATAAAATACCTTAAATCTTAGGTAAGATACTAAAAGTGCAGCAAGAAAGAAAACATAAACTGGACTTAATCAAAATTTAAAACTAGTAATGTTTCAAAGGATACTATCAAGAAAATGTTCTTCCATACACAGAATGGAAAAAATTTTTGCTGCTCATATATCTGATAAAGGACTTATAGAGAGAATATTAAAAAAAAAACTGTTACAACTCAATAATAAAAAGACAAATAACCCAATTAAAAAATAAATGAAGAATCTGAACATTTTTCCAAAGCAAATATACAAATGACCAATAAGCACATGAAAAGATGCTCAACATCATTAGCTATAAGGTAAATGCAACCCAAAACCACAATGAGATACCGCCTCACACCCACCAGGATAGCTAGAGTCAAAGAGGTAACAAGCATTGAGGATGTAGAGAAATTAGAACTTGCACACATTGCTGGTAGGAATGTAAAGTAGTGCAGGCTCTTTGGAAAACAATCTGGTAGTTTTTCAACAAGTTAAACATTGAGTTACCATATGACCTAGCAATTCCACTTCCTACACATATAACATATGAGAATTTAAAACATATGTCCATGCAAAAACTTATACACAAATGTTCATAGCATCATTATTCATAATAGCCAAAAAGTAGAAACAATGAAAATGTCCACCAATAAATGGACTAGATAAACAAAATGTGGAATGTCCACACAATGGAATATTATTCAGCAGTAAAAAGAAAGTACTGATACATGCTACAACAAGGATGAAACTTGAAAACATTATGTTAAGTTAAAGAAGCCAGTCACAAAAGACCACATATTTTACGTTGCCATTTATATGACATATCCAGAATAGGCAAACCCATAAAGAAAGAAATCAGATTAGTAGTTACCTGGGATGGGAGAGGACAGAGGAAATGGGGAGTGACTGCTAATGGGTAGAGGGTTTCTTGTTGGGGTGATGAAAATGTCCTAAAACTGATTGTGGTGAGGGTTGCACAGCTCTGTAAATATACTAAAAACCACAGAATTTTACACTTCAGATGGATAATTATATCAAAACTTTTTTTTTTTTAAGCACCTTAAAG